CCGAAACAATGAATCCAAGAAACTTGAATAATGGACTGATTTTTCGAACTGGGTTATCTTTTCTTTCAGCAGTTTTTCAAATTCTGTGAAGTCTTCTTTGGAAGATGGACACATGGCATCAATTCCAGAGACAGGATTAACACCAAAAGCATCTTTTGCTAACTCCAAGTCTGCTGCTTCCTGTAGTTGCTGAACTCGTAACTTCTCTGCAAGTTGTTCCTCTGGAGTAAGTTCTTCTGGCTGGAATAACAAATCAAATTTACTTTACTTAAATTCAAGAGCTTTTACTGTAAAACAGACAAAGCGCTACAGTACTTACCTTTTCCATTTCCTTTTTCAGTTCTTCTTGTTTCTTCCTTAACTGGTTTTCTTTCTCTTTAATCTTTTCAGACAACTTTTTCTTTTCTGACACCTTTGTCTCTGATAAATATTAAAAAATAAATAAATAAAAAAAGGAAAATCACCTTGTTTAGTTTTAAAAAAGCAGAGGACTGAAAAGGTGAAGGAGGTTTGACAGAATGTGCCACAATAAAATAAAATAAATTTCAAAGCCCTACCTGCCTTCTTCACCTCTACTTTTTTCTCCTGTTCTTCTTCTTCATCGTCCCAATTATCCTGAGGGAAAAAAAATAAAAAATTTCAGATACATAACGATGGAGCTTGTTTAAGGACTGCTGTTAAAGTACTATTAAAACACATTCAAAACATATATATATATTTATTCAACTTTAAAACAGAATTAGTTAAAATGATTGCAACAAATCCACTTTTTAGACTAAGGTTTTAATATATTTATTCTATTTTTTAAAAACTATCCATTTATTGCAGCAAAAATACACATTGCTTGCTATTACAACCTCATGTGAAACAAGGGTATTCTTTGTTAAATCATTCAATCATTTCTCATCCATTTTTTTCCCCCACTGGTAAAAGGTTTTAAATTTTGTCTACACCTTTTTAAGGTCCAAATTTGTGTGGCTACTTTTGCTGTAATGTGTTTGCGGCTGTAACACCACAATTTCCTCATTGTGGGACAATAAATGGATTTTCTGAATTAAAAGTAACCGTTTAAAATTTAAAGATTAAAACAAACCAATCATAACTTCTGGCTATTTTCTAAATAAAATTAAATAGCAAACAGCAATGCAGTTTAACTTGATATTTTTCCTAAAAACAAAACTTCTACAAATTGAAACCTTCAGCTAATAGCAGTACAAAGGATTGATGTTTTCATGTAATAACTGTATTTATAAAGTCATTTTGATGATATATCCTGAACATTTTTGGCTTTGAAGATGGAAGACCTCCTCTTAAAAAAAAAAAGAAGCATGTTGACAATGAACTTTTCAATTATTCATAAAGCATGATCAGGTAGACGACAACATTTTATAGTTTGGCTCAAATAACAAGTGATCAGATATGGCTCCATGTTGCATACAAACGTCAGTGTGT